CTCTTAGTCACTCATGGGAGGTAAAGAGTTAAGAATCAAACCATCAAAGATATTAAAACAATCACCCGCCTAAGTTCACAGTGAGTATTAATTATTTTATAGGGTCAAATTCAATGAAGAATTATACTAAAATTGAAATGGGTAAAAAGAATGGACAATACATAAAAAGTAAGCTAACGGATTGATGCATGTAATTAGATTAACTCTTCAACATCCAGAAGTGATGAACATGTATCTTCTCCCTATAGTAAACATACATCATCCAGCAAACAGATAATGAGATTACCCAAACTGGCCAGCTACAGGTTCTTATCTTGATTTAACATGAAATTCTTGTAACTTATTTACAAGGAAATGTGTATCAGCCAGATTGGAGAATTAACAATTAGGTCATGGGGGTTAAAGACTTGACATCACCATTGTGCTATACTACTACTGGGTGAGGTACCTGATTACTGCAATATTGTAACTGAAAAGATAAAATAACATTTGATTATTTAAGATTGTTGAATACCTGTATTCCTAATAATATAATCAAGACAAACAAGTTTTTGAAATTGTATCAGAAAATCTTTGTTTGTGATGGCTTGAAGAGGTTCCACTTCAAACTTCCTCAGGTGAAATTCTGCATCTTTATAACCATCAACAAATGTCTGAAACGAGCCCAGCTGAAAACCAAAAAATAACATCAACATCATGTTCGCATAGTTTTTTTTGGCACACAAGGTAGACAGTGATTGTGTATTTTGGCCAAGGAGAGGCAACAAATTTGAAATTTTGGTGAAACATCAAGTGAAATTCATGAATCAATTAGCCACTTTTGCAAGCTACCTGTATTCAGTTACCATTCTTGCAAGAATAATTAATTCCAAGTAACTTTAAGGAATTCTGTAATTCCAGTAATGAATGTGACAAAGAAGAGTGTTGAGGAGGAGTGGGTTTGGCAATCTGGATCACTAGATTTAGTTTGTTTATATAAAAATATAGATATATATATAAACTATCTTATCATTGAAAAACAGTCACCAAATAAATTTCTTACCCAGGTGTGTAAAAAAAAAAAAAGGATTCTCAAATGGAATAATGGAATCATGTTACAAAATATATCAAGGAAAGATTCTATCAATAAGCAAGTCAGTCAGTCAGTCTGGGCCAAAGATATAAGATATATAATCATAAGTATATTATCCATACTGTAAGAAAAAAAAAAACAGATCAAAATAAATGTAGACTTAAGAATGAGGAAGTTTTCACCCTTTACTTGGCCCTGGAGGATGATCCAGCTGCAATCATTGCCTTATTTGAAAAATCTACCTTATGCAAAATGGTGGAATAAAAGGGCACCTGCTATTTGAGGTTTAAATAATTCTAAATTTGTTTTGTCTACATTTCTGTCTGTTCCACAGGAGTTGCAACTGATAATCATGCGTGAAAGAAAATTAAACTGAACCTACTTTAAAATATTACTGATCTACATGTGCATGTAATATGTGGTTTGAACCATAACATGGTCATAAAGAGGGTTTTCAAAAAGGTTTTGAAGTAGGCGTCAGACTTGGAAAAAGTAGGTGACTATGAAAAGTTCATTTAAAGGGCTTAAAAATGATGATTTTGACCAGAATAACCAGCAACACGTTATCAAGTAGCTAACGGAACTCCAGCGATCATCTGCTTGTTTTGAAATCCTTGCATAAAGGTTAAAGCATGTCCCTAATAATTTGTTTCCTTTGGACTATATTGATTTAAATGAGAAAATAACTATTAAAGTGATTTATCACATTTATTCAATATAATCATTCAGTGAAATACCTTTGGAGGAAGTCCTGCTTTCACATGTTTTCCTAAAGTATCAGGAAATCTTTCTGTAGCAAACCTTTTTGACCTTGCTTTTGCTCGATCAAATGCTGTGTAATTAAATGTATCACTAGCAAGTCTGACAACCTAGAAGTCAAGGAAATAAATAGATATCACTGAGTTATGGATGAAAATAAAAGCTATTTACACCCCTCATTTTTCTCTGTATCGCTGTAAGTGGAGTATTTAGAGTCCTGTGGCATGCTACTACAAGAGCTTAACTGGTTTGATTCAAACAAAATGACAGTCACTATAAATGAGTATCACCAGAATCTACATGTATTTTTAAAACATTTCTGTGAGGAGAGAAGCACTAAGAGAACTAGGTGTCTTTCCAAAGAACACAACCCAATAATCCTGACTTGAATGCTAACAACTGAGCCTCTTAAATATTTAAGTCTTTACACCTATTACATTTTATGATACAAATATAAGGAGTAAAATTTGCATTTGTTAGTCAATAGTCACCTTACCTTTGTCTTAGGAACAATATTTAGACCAAGTTTCTGATCCACAAGGCTTGCTCCAGCCTCAGAGAGATATCCTTGGTTTGGAATTAAACAATTTCTACCAAAACAACATGGACAGCAAATCTTGTGACACCATTTTGTCCACTTGGGATTAAGATGTCCATAGGGCTCTTCATCTTTAGGTTTAAATACACCAATCTTCTTCTGCAGACAATAATTAAACAATTGTAGAATAAATTTGGAAACTAAAGTTTATGAGTGTAGTCAACTTCCAATACTTTTTTCTGCCAGCACACATATAGGAAAGTTTGAAAGCAAACACCATAAAGAATACTTAAAAGTATTGAAGAGACATTGTTCAAAATTACATCTGTTTACCTTAAAGTTTATTATGCAAATAAATGTGCACAGGCAAATGTAACCTTGACTTAATTTTGGTTTGGATAGTTCACAGAGTTTAAAACTCTTTAAATTAGCCAATTTATGTTATCAACTCAGTTTATAATACTAAATTACCCTGTTAAACTCTCCTACCAACACAGCACCACAGTTTCTTTAGAAACTTACCCCTTGAAACATAACTAAAACTAGTTTGAAACCAATTATATTAATATATAAATATAACCGCATACAGTTATAAACAAATGTAATGGAAAGCAATTTATGAATAAAAATGAAAAGAAATGTACATTAAGTTCCCTTAAGCACACATAGCTGAAAGTTTTTTGGTAAAAAAAAAACTTCTCTGTTCAGCTCAGCTTAAATTGGTTCAAAAATAGGGATAATAATAATCAAAAGGAAAATTTAAATATTGGTGTATCTTTACACATTAATAATGAATGTAAGATTTCTCATGTCTTAACAATAACAAAGATGATAGCAATCAGAAGCAAATTGGTGAACATTCAAACGATTTTTCTTTGTAATAATACCGTTAGATTTACATTATAAGATGTACTTGTGAGGCGTTTTGTCGAGAAATGGAAACCGGAAATAGGGTCTTGCTGAACGACGAGTACCCATCATGTTGAAAACAAATACCATATATCTAAGTGAGTTTCGATTTGAGATTTTTCTATGGCATTTCGTCTAGACAAGGTGAGTATTGACGAGAAATATCATTGAAAAAACCATGTACGAAAAATCTTACCCCTTCTTTGTCTTTTACGAAGTAACTGCCACTGGATCCTTGGTAAATACGTTCGGGCAAAATTCCTACATCAATAGCTTGTTCGGCGGCTTGTATAAGGCTGCTAAACTCTGGATCGTCAAAGTGATTTCCTTGGTATTCAGTATCACTGTGACTGTCCATTCGAGATCTCGATCTGCCGAGTAAAGGTCTCTGTTCAGAAGTCCTACTATCGTAATGAGAACCGCCAACTATGGCTGTGCTGTAACTGGCCGGGTCCGCGTGATACGGAACTACATCAGGTCCGTTTAGCCGGCCTTCCGAGGCAAAATCAATGAGTGGACGCCCTGTGTCGTCTACGGACATCTAAATCTTTAATTTGGCCGCCCTCTTTAGAAATTTTCCAATCGCTCTCAGAGCATTTCATTCGTAGAAATCCAGCATGAAACGATCTATTTTGGTTTCTTACAAAATTATCGAATTGTCATGATTTCATTTAACATGCGCATGGTTTCTTTTGACTTTCGCTGCCGCTGACTAGTTCACGGAAGTGGTTGCGCTTTCAAATTTTGCTTCCACGAAATATCTTATGCAAGTGATTTAATTTCCAACGAGATTTTAATCACACAGTCTATCGAAAATGGACTTTAGTCGCTCAAAGAACTCACTTTATTTGGTTGCCTATTAACAACTTGTTCAACGTCTCCGTATCGATCATTTTAGCGATATTTTGAGCTGTGAACGCGGTATACTTGTGTAACTAAAGCACTTGAAGGGATATTCGAAATTACCAGCAAATAAGGCTCCTCTTCCTTTTGTAGTCTTAAATATCTTCTGAAATACTAACGCTTCTACAAAAATAGTACCTATCTGAACGGTAAGCTTTACGATGTGTAATGGAACCTAAAATTATTGCGGAAATTTTTCTCACCGTGTGACGAAATGAAAAAAAATTATACTTGATATTTAGTAGAGCAGACGGTTAAAACAATCAAAGCAGGGGCGGAACGCGTACCTGTTTAAGCAGAAATCTAAGCAATATTTGTGCAGCGCCGAAGAGAGTTGATGTGGACCAAAGATATCACCAAAAGGTGTTTTGTTGCTACGTAGCCATGTGCCCTGGGAAACCGCCGAGCAGAGTATGCAAATAATTGCACAGGAGGCTATTCATATGCAAAAGATGCTTTTCTTAGATACTGGGTAAAAAAAATGGGCGATCCTTCGGCGGAGTTGAGGTTTTTGAGAAGCTGAATCAATCCAAACGTCCACAAGAAAACTAAATTCTGCATCTCAGATCCATATCATGAATAAATTGTGACCAGAATCCATCCTTTGCTTCACAACCCGTTACCTGCAAAAAATTCGGTATCGTATCTTCTCGAATAAGCGCCGGGGCACTCATTGGAAGGAGGACACTTTATCGAGCGGGGAAATTCTTAAATTTTTTCTCTCAAAGAGCTGTTACCTAAGTTTTGGCTAAATACTCAACGAGAAAACAAAAACTGCAATATCGTTTGCTTACAGACGTACAGTCAATACGGAGATACAAATAATTGGATGTGACTTAACGAAATGGAGACTATTCTCCTGTATTGATTCCGCTGTAGTTGAAGCTTCATAAAAAAGTTATAAATAAAGTAGCAATAAAAACAGGGTTTCCTTGTATCCATGCTCATTTTAGAAAGTGAGGGAGGAAGGGGGCGCTTATTCGAGAGGGGCGCTTGTTTGACATTAGGGCCTGGGGGTGGACGCTTATCGTGAGGGGAGAGTGCTTACTAGAGCGTGCACGTTTATTCGTGGAAAGACAGTATCTCTATACCATTAGGAACTGAACCTGATGCATTTCCTTGCCATCCATTTAGATTTGCCGATAGACCACAGTCGCCCTTGACTGTGTCAACATTATATACATGCCCCTCAGGTGTCGATGAGGGAATATTTACTTACACTCGTTACAGAGTATTTGGAGAAAGATTTTTCCTCACACATTTTTATCCTGGCAACGGGGATATGCATTTAGTGGAAATATCACCTCATTTGTTCCCCGAAATAAAAATTTAGTCACTCTTTCATCCATTCTTCCATTTATTCGGTGAGCAGGAAATGAGAATAAAAAAGCGACAAAAACTCACAACGAAAAAAGAAAGAAAACAAAAACAAGTAGGAACTCAATTTTTTCAGCGCTCCAAACCCTTTTTGACCCCCCCCCCTTAAGAGTGACTAGCATCTAAATTCTCCTTACAATATCACCCCTGAATCACACATTAAGGTCACGAGGATTAAGAAAATAATCACTAACTAAAGAGGCCCTTTGATTGCAAAGCAAATTCTCCTTGTTATCACCTAAGGAAATATATAGAGAGAACAGTACGGAGAATATACCTGCTGATGTTCGGGTGAAAACGGTTAGTTACTCAAGAATTTGGTCCGAAAAGGCCTACTCGATGACAAATTACACAAAGCCTCGTTATATTATGTGTGTCCTTTCAAAACGTAACCAATTCCAGGTTCTCTTATTTCTTTCAGCCTGGTTACTGAACATTCTCTTTATATCTGAAGGGAGTCTGGGATGAGATATGAGAGAGTTCTAAGTGACGTCACAGCTCATAAGGTGATTTTATCACCAACAGCTTACATGAACATATCACGCTTAGGGGCTTAGTTTCTTTTTTCCAATGCACTCTTTCTCCTTTCCCTTCTCTTTCCTTCAGGAGCCTGGCTACGCAAGGTCTGGTTTTCTGATGGGGTCAATTATTCATATTGCATTGAAACTGAATGTTAACAACATGCATTAAAAGCTAAAATTTCATTTGAGTTGTAGTGCACAGTTATAAAAGGAACTTGCTTGCTTGCGCCATGCAAATCACCGGTCCTTTGGTTGTGCATAAACGATCATAATATATGCAAATGACCAGTAATTTATATACACAAATATATTTGCAAAAGGGTAAAACAACGATAACAGTTGGAACAAGGTGTCGAGAGATCAACTCTCATCAGTTCGTTCATCGTTATTATCTATCATCATCGTCGTCGTCGTCGTCATCATCTCCGTCATCATCTCCGTCGTCTCCGTCATCTCCGCCATTCCTCGACTTAATCGCACGATAAATATGAGGGTACATTTCACACTCACAGCACGATCGAATCTCCTGTGTGTAGAAGTCCCACACTTCCTTATACACAGGCTTGCCAGCAAAGTTAGTCATTTTAATATCAGGCGCGAACTTGCCAGTAAACCGCAAGAAATCAAGTTGATGTGTTCGCTGGAAACAAAGCCCCATGTTGGCAGCACACTGGTGGTCGCTATCCCGGCAAATAACTTCGTTGATGTACTTTGGGAACCGATCGTCACTAAGCCGAGTGGTGGCTGAACATTCCGTGCATAAGCGGTGCAAATTGGTGCCTTTTGTGATTGTGCCCCGTTTCTGACACCCACGGAAAAATGTGCCTGGAGACGTAGGAAGGCTCCTTTTCAGGCGCTGTTGTTTCTTCAAGTCAAGTTCCTCTTTGTCAGCTTGGCGCATAGGTGCATGGTGCTTCGTGCTTTCCGTCAAGTTCATCACTTCGGTTTTTTTCGGATCATGATCGGGTGTCTTCGGTTGTCCCTCCGGGAAAGTGGTTAGATCCTCAAAACCACTTGCGTCAGTGATGTTAACAGCCGCATATCGTTTGTTTAACCCTCCAGTAGACCCTAATTGTACCAAAAGGTCATGTTCTGACTTTCTTAAACACACGACTGGGCCGGGCTCGTCTTCCACTCGGTTAACCCTCGAGTGGTTTCGGCAAATGTCCGGATTCGCTTTGATCGTCGCAACTTTCGTGATTCTTGATCTCCATGGATATCTAAATCTTTGTCTCATTTTATTTCCAGGCCTTCCCCGATAACCTGCCAGCAAGCTTCTATTTATTACACGCGGCTCTTTTGACCCAATCACAATTCTGCGATCTGCTATCTGCTGCCTCTCATCATTCTCATACGGGTGGTGATTCAGGAAAAGACTCTCTACTACGATGATACACTTGAGTATAAAAACCAACGCAACAAAAGTTGTTTCCAGCTGAAACAAATTAAGAAGGTTCAAAATGCGCCAGAAACATCATATCTCTTTGAGGAAAGTATGTCGAATAAAAACTGAGGTCGATATAGGTGAGCTACTTTAATTCAGTACTTTAAAAGAACAAATAGAGATATGGGAGCAACTGATGATTTGAGACTCTGGTGCATTAACAAGCAAATAACATGAAATTATAGTAATCCACTTATTTGACTTGGACGCGAACTTTGTAAACCTGAAAATATATTTCTAATTCAATACTTTCATGTTTTATTTGCATTTATGTAAACACTTTTGAACAATTAACCTTTTTGAATGTCTGGCGCATTAACAAGCAAATATCACGAAAGTATGATGGTAGATTAATATGGCTCAAACGCGAAACTTATAAGCCTGAAATAAATTTCTAAAAAAAGAATTACACGTTTTATTTGCGTTTATATAACACTTTTGAAAACTTTTCCAGCAATCAACATCAGTTAATCCTGTTCAAAATATTTAAGTGACTTCTGTAATTATCAATTACTTTGAAGTAGAATTTATGATCATTTATGATCGTCAAGTAAATTACCATATATTTTCATTCAAAATAACTCTTTTGAATAAGTTTCAGTAAAGATATCTTCTTAATCATCAAGACTTCAGTTTTTCAAAAAAAAATCAAAGCTCTTTTTCCCTAGATAACTTCCATAATTGCCTTATTTGGCTTGATTTTTTTTTTCGACTGATATATCCGTCAGAGGGGTAAATCTTCATACCGCAAACGTTTACTATTCTTTTTCCCATCTCTGGAGTGGCATTGTTTAGTGCACGATTTTATTTTCTAAAATGATAGGTCTTTCATTCTTCTTTTTTCGGATTTTTTTCTGTATCAGCTATTGATAGTTACACTATTGGAAGACTCGAAAATTTTAAAAAGAGTATATACTGATTATCAGAAAATGAAATTACCGCCATTTTTCTCACCTTCATTCTCTGCAGTGCTGTGTCCGTTCTGCCACAGGACAGATTGTTTCTGCTCCCCAACTGATGGTTGAGAGATAATTGTTTTAAAGTCAGTATATCGATCATTATAACTGATTTTGATCTATCGATAGAATGACCAACGCAAAGCCTTAATTGGGTCGCTATAACTACTTGATCTTGTTATCAACGGTGTGTTTTGCAAAATCTTTGGTTGATTTTTTTCCAGTTCATCGTCTGCAATCTGTCTTGATGTTCTCTCACCTTTAGACATCCTAGAACCTTCTCGATTCACTATTGCCTCTTAAATATATTTTTATCGTGATAGTTTCAAGTTTCACAACGAAAAATACCGACGAATGGCGGGAATATCATGACGTCACTTCTTCAAGGCAAATAGTTTGGAAGTAATTATAGATATTCGGCGTGAAAGCCAAATTAACATTACAAAAAAATATATGTACAACTTGGACTCGAAGACAA